ATTTGAACATATTTATTTGAACATATATGTCTGAGAATAATATTTATAATGAAGGAAATATGAAATACTAATTAAAATTTTTTAGAAAAACTCAGTTCAATAGAATTAGCACGACATAAATGTTAGATAGTATTTTACCGCTTAAGTGTCGGTTTAGGTAATAATCATTACGTTAAAAATGTTCTTTTTCCCTGTTATCTTGAAAAATGGGGACATTAGACTTCTAACTAACAGTCTTAAATGGAAAATTGTATTGTTGTCAGTTTTTGTTTTTAAATTCAGCTGTATTTTTTATGAAAAACATATTTTTCAAGATTCATCATTTAGAACGAGGTCTCCAATTAAGTGTTCGTGTAAATTGCTCATGTAATTGAGAAGTTGAAATTACGAACTTTATTCTCATATAATGACCGAAATGCAATAGGGAAAAATAGCAATAAATACAATTATTTTTTAAAAAAATAACTTCTATTTTACGACTTTCTCAAGATGTCGAGAAAAAGTTATCATTAAATAAAGGTTTAAAAAACAACTGCTCTTTCAACTGAATTTTTTGTTTTCGTCATTTCGTTGAACACCTTTCGTTTAATAGATATATCAAATAGGCTGCCTAATACTTACATAAAACACGATTAGGCAACACCTAGGAATGGATTAAACTGGCGATGGCGTAGCCAAAAGGGGGGATACGAGGGTAAATCCCTCAATAAAGTTAAAATTTTTCGGAAATTTCAACGAATACTTTAAAATAAAACAAAACTTGTGTAAGTTTTTTTTGCCACATGTGTCTAAGTGCGTCAAACAAGTAAAAATATTTACATTAAATGGAATGAAGGCGTAATAAAATTGTATCCAAGTTTAAGATCCTCTAAAAATGAGGGAAAATTTTAAAAATTCTCATCCCGGTAAAAAGTTAGAAAATAATCTAAGCCTTTCATTGCTTTTTTCCTACTTAAGTTTTGAAATGATGAAGCGCTTTTTACGTATAATATTAAATATTTACAAATAAGAACATAGTTGTCTCAGGTAAATTTTTCAAAAGGGCAGACGAAACTTAAAAAAAGCAAAACATGTTTTTTTTTTTTTTTAAAGTAGCCATACATTAAAAACTATGTATAAGAATATAAGAATGATTTTTTCAGATGTAATTTATAAGCATTTTATATTTTTACTTAATAATTGTATAGGTGAAAAGAAATTTCGGTGACATGAGTTGTATGAGCCATTTCTGCTGCTCTCCTATTTTGAAATAAAAAACTAAATTTCAAAATTAAATTTGAATTTGAAACAGCAATTTTTTTTAAAAGTATAAAAGTACAGAAACTGTTTTTGAAGTATAAAAGTACTTTTTCTTAAAGAAATGATCAGAACCGTTTACAGCTTAAATCGTATGACACAGTTCCTTCTAAACACTCGGTGAAAATTTAAAAAGAATTAACAAAAAGTTTACAAATGCAAAAACAGTTCTTTTCTTTCTTTCTTTTTTTTTTTTTGAAATTGTAAAAAAACCTGTTAAAATTTTAAGAAACTAAATAGCGCATAAAAATAAACTTTGCTGGAAAACATAAGAACTGAAAAAAAAAGAAAAAAACTTGTAACATATAAACTAAACAAATGCAAAATAAAATAATAAAAAAAACTAAAACCTTGAAAAACTTAAGCTTCAAAAAAATTTAAAACTTAAAATTTTTTGAAAAGATTAAAAAACTAAAGTGAATAAAAAGAAAACTTAAGAATTATAATATCGGGAGTCTATAAAAAATTTAAGAACGCTTTATCAAAAATTTAAATATTAAAATTGTAAATAGCTTTAAAAACATAGAAAACAGTTTAAAAAAGTAAAAAAAAAAACTAATTTTTGAATAGTTAAAAATTATTTCATAAAATTATTAAAAATAAACTCTAAAAATTAATTTTTAAATATATGAAATGTTAAAAAAACAAAAAATTTAAAAATTGAAGAAAATTTTAAAATTCAAAAAAAATTTAACAAACATTAAAAAAGACCCCAAAAAACTAAAAACAATGAAAATTTTCCAATTAAAGAAGTAAGAAACTTGAAAAACTTAATTTTAAAAATTTAATTAATTTTTTAAATTTAGAAACTAAAAAAAACTTTTGATAACTATTCATAATTTTTGATTAAATTTTTCATTAATTTTTTCATTAATTTTTAACTTTTGATTTCTAAAAACGCTTAAGAAAAATTCGAAAATTAATTTTTTTCAAATTCTAAAGAATAAGGAAAAAAACCCTAAAGCATAAAAAAAAAAAAAAATGTCGACAAAGTTTGAAAACTTTAAAAATAAAACGTTGATGAACTTAACAAAAATTAAAATAATTTAAAAAAATTAAAAAACCTCAAAAAGTTAAAATTCCATAAATTCCTATTTTTTTAATTAAATTTTTATATAAATTGAATTGAAACTCTTTTTGTTAGTTGGAAGTGATTTGTCCTCTTCATTTTAATTTTTTGAAGAGCGCTGCGATGGCTGCATTAAGAGTCAACGTTTTCATGTGTCAACAAGGAGAAAGACTTGTAACTCAATCATTGCTGTTTTAAAATTTGTTTTGGATAAACTAGGTAATCGCGTACTCAATTAATTATTAATAATATATTATATTTTTATTGAAAATAATTTAACTTCAATATTTAACAGCTCATAGGGTAATTTTCACTTGGATAAATCAAATTTGTCTCACACAAATACTATATTTTATAAAGGTACTTTATACGTAATTTCTAGGGTGGCCACAGTCTGAAAAAATTTAAAAACGCTTATGAGGTTATCATAAAGGTTTTAGGCTTTAATTATATTTTAGGAATTCAGTTGTAACACAGAAATTTAATATACAAATATGAGCAAATTAAACCTAATTAGTGGAAATATTTTATTTGCGCGATCTTTTTCTACCAGTTTTTCTGGAATATGACTTCTCGAAATGCCCATCAACAGTACTATCTTGAATTCCTTTTTCCTGCAAAATGTATTTTTTTAAAATTTATTTTGGTGAAGCAAAAAACATTCTCCAAAACTTAATGTGTTTTCAGATCACATTAATATTAGTTTTAATAAATATTGCAAAGGTATAATTGAAATTATGCATTTGTAATATTTTTGAAACAGTAATCCCATTAAAAATTATCCACCAATTTGATAATTACAGACCACTTTTATACCTCTCTACTAACCCTTAGGAAAATTTGCCATAGAGAAGCCAATGGTAATCTATNTGGCAAAATTCTGCCATACGTATATGGCAAAAGTGTATGGCAAAATTTTTGCCATAGGCAAAACCCCATAGGAATATCCTATGGCATTTTTTATGGCAAACCTATGGCAAATTTTCCTAAGGGAAGTGCTGCGCAATCACAACAGTAGCGGAAAATGACATCCCCTTGATTCTATTTGTTCAAAAATTAAGCGTCCCTTAAGAAAATTTACCAAAGACACACCTATAGCAACCAGTGGTAACCCATGGTTATCATAAAAATTTATATGGCAAGATACCATAAGCCTATGGTAACCATAGAAATTTATATGGCAAGCATAAGTATGTGGTAACCGTAGAAATTTGTATGGCATTTTATGGCGATACACCGTAGCCTTATGGTATGTTTGAAGGGAAGTACCATAGGGATAAGGCAAAATAATGGAAACACACCATGCGCATGCGTCATTAATGTGAGAGAGTGGATATGGTTGAGGAAGGCTTGCTTTACTGCAGCTACGGCGATCTAGCTCAATTCTGCGTTAATTAAATCAATCCATCAAAAACAATAGTTCTTTTCAATAAAGTTCACCCACCTTATTAAAATTTATAGTTATTTAAAATTATTTTCGATTATTTCAACGAAAAGTAGCATTTCAAACTTCAAAACTTTCCTCTGACGTCAGAATGATGGTAAAGGCAAGCGTGACGCCGATATCCCGATGGAGTATCATTCGGTAAAAACATTTTTTGGTACTAATTTTTGCACTCTATTATTTTATTTTAAATTTTTTTTCGAATTTCCAACTAAATCGATTTTAAAACTTCTTGAAATTAATCAATATCCAATAAGTTTCGACAACGTTTTTCGAAATTTATTGTAGATTGTAGACAATCAGCACTTAAACGAATTAAGAAGAAGGGGATGAAAAAGTTGTAAAAAAATAGGGTAATTTATATACATGTATCTAAACTATAGTATTTTTTACAACTTTTCATCCCCTTCATCTTAATTCGTTTAAGTGCTGATTGTCTACAATGGCTCAGTGGTTAAATGTACTGAGCTGTCACCACGTATGACTGGGGTTCGATTTTCAGTGGTGGCTTGAAGCACATCTAGTTTTAGACGAATAGGTTCCAGATTCTGTTAGAAATAAAAGAAGCCTGTGCCTAATACTGCCTGCATTACTACAATCATATAATTGGTATCAAAATTGTGGTCATTTATTGGTCTCGAATCTCCTTTTATTTAATTGAGTTATTTTATGGACAGCATCCATTCTTTTACTAGAGATCCTTTGAGTAGCAGTTGTTATTTTATGGGCAACGTTTTTTTTAATTTCCTACATGTGCTACAATGTAAAATTACGAGTCTAAATATTTTTTAATACACTTCGTCTCGGATTTCGGCTGACAGCCTTTGTTTGTAATTTTGATTGAATTTTTTCACAGTATAATTAATGAAGCACTCTAAAATAAATCTTGCACTCTTAAAATATGATTTCAAAATTGCTGGTATTTCAATAAGAAAGAAGATATTAACTTTATTCCTTCATTTCGGTCTATCTGATTTTTACGTGGGTAAAAATGACACAATTTCTAAAAGCTTCAAGTATGATCTTTTAAATTGTATCATCAGTTTTGTCATTAAAAATTGTTCAAAAAATAAATTTGCTGCTAAAAGAAATATTGTTCATAGAAGTGTATCCATATTTTAATCCAACCTCTTTATGTCTTGCCATGAATCACAATATTTTTACATGCAAACTATTAAAAAGATTTTATACCTGTTTTGAGTCTGTATGCTGTATGTGTCTGCTTGCATGTTTCTTGACAAATCTACAAAATAAACAACTTAAGAGTATGCTATATCAAGGCAGATACGCTTTATGGCAAATTCTTCTTTACCTACTTCAGTAATTTAAAATTTAAAGTATAGAAAAAAATTGAGTTCGTCTGTATGCTCAAGTAAACCAAGAAGTTTAATTAGCGGAAAAATTATTTTCAAAATATCAAAATACAATCAAGTTATGGCAGAATTTATCAGGGTTACGCAGAAGGGGAGCTATCTTGATATAATTTGTAAAATTTAAAAAAAAAATAACATTTGAAACTTCATGATTTTCCCTAGGTTTGACTGAACTAACTTTTTCGATACTTCAAACTACTAATGAATGGGAAACTAACTTTGTTATGAAATGTTTCTCTCGCTGTATAGTGTCCTCTAACCATCCACTCTTAAGAGTTTAGCGAAAATTTACAAACGCTTAAATGGATGATACGTTCATGCGTGTTGAACGTCGAACAATTGCGAGGTTTAATAAATAAAAAAATAAACCTCAAATGTTATTATAATTACTGTAAATTATAAAAAGTATTTTAAAACATTATTCAGTTCATTTTATTTTCAGCTATTTTATTTTATTCAGTTTGTTTTTATCTTATATAGATTCGGGTTCAACGTTTATAAATGAGTAAAGTTTATCGGATGCTGAATCAAACTTTAGTTATTACTTATTATAAATCATTTTAAAATAAATATGAAAAATGCATTAGTTTGACACTAAACAAGATACGTGGCTTAGTTAATTTTTTTTTAAATCTCTCAAACCAGAAAACAAATCAGTAATGTCAAACATGCAATTAAAAACAAATTTTTTCCCTATTTCTTTTTTTAAAGTTTTAATATTTCAAAAAAGAAATTCTATACCATTTTTAATTTTATAAATCGCTACTTTATTCTATCACATCTTTTTTCATATTCCATACCTGCGAGTGTTTTAGAACATAATACAAACATTTTTATAAAAAACTTTGATCTTATTTTAAAGTTAAAATGAACTACATTACGACATTATTAAAATTTTATTCAAAAAACATTTGCTGGCATGAAAAAAAATTAAAAAAAAAAAAAAAACAAACAGCTGAAATTCAGTTTTATATACGTTTGAAGTGGTTGCTAACAAGGAAGTGAACTCGTAAAAGCAAACAAGCTGAAGTTCAATTAGTTAACTGAGTACTATTAAACTGAATAGCCGCCTTATTCTAATTACTAAATACTTGTTGTTTACGAAAGAATAAATTAACTAAAACAATAGATAGTCTCATAAATTCACTTTCAATGTATTTATTACAATGAAACGTTACCAATTTTATTTTTGACGTAAAAAATTACATAACGAGTGGCTTTTGTTTTAAGTGTTTTTAAACAAAACTTCCTTTTGGTCATTTTAAAAATATTTACTCAGTAATTGTTTCGCATCAAAGAAAACAATACTGTTGAACCTTTTATCTATTACATGACATATTACGACATTCTTGTAATCCATCTGACAACTTTTACCTGTATATTTCTTTAAAACTAAATTATGAACATATACTCACTTTGAGTCACTCATAACAGCTAAAAAAACTTTTCTATCATTTATGGTTGTGCGAAAATTTCAAAACTGATTTTATAAAACTAAAGAAGAAATTAAGAAATTTTTTGCAGTCTCGGGGAAAGTTAGTCACAATTCTCCAATTTTTCACGGTTGTGAATTGCATGTATTTGGTGGAGTGTACGAAAGTTTATCTTGTGTTGTTTTGTGTGTAAAAATAAACACTTTTTTTTTTGGCCATCATTTGTAAAAGTCATAAGGGATTTCATAACTGCTTGCAACTTGTAATCCTGTAGAAATTGGAAAAATATTTTGAATCTAAACACGTTTTTAGATTAAAACAAAATACGTGAAAATGATAATTAAGATATGTAGCTAATTTCTCCAAATCTGTCTCTAGTCTTGACCGAAGCATTTAGTTCATAAAACTGGTACTTAGTATTCTAGGAGCGAAAAATTTCATTTCGCAAATACACTGTTTTAAATGGTGCATAATAACGGTGCATAGAAAATTTATAATGTTTTGCATGACTAATGACTTTAGATAGCAGATTTCGCACTACTAGTGCGAATCACCATCTAAAGTCATTAGTCAGTAGTCATTGGTAGTTTTACTATTAGTAGTTTTACTGTTTATCGTATTATGCTATAATACGATGAATTTATGAATTTTCATTTTATAAATGTACTTAATAAGGGATTAAAAATGTTTTTTTCTTTCCTTCAAAGTATTGCAAGTTATAAAATGATATTATACATCATAATGCTTGAAAAATTTCGCATAAATGATGTTTTTAAAGTCATTATCCCTTACAGTGAAATAAAAATTTGCGAAATTTCGTTTCTATAAAAAGTGTACTATTTTCAGAACCAAATGATTAACAAAAATATTTTTTCCGGTCATTTAAAGTATGAGTTATAAAAAAAATTACTATCCATAAAAAATTACAAAATTTTTATGTAACTCTTAACTTAAAGACGTTTACGTAACTAGACAAAAACTGAAAAAATGAAGACTTTTTTTTAACCATGATATATAAAACTTAAACAAAAACATAATTATCAAATCCATGATATTTATATTTGAAATATTTTTAAATTAGGCATTTTCTTGATAATGAAAGTAATTTTAAGTTAAATTTATGAAGAAAAAAAATTAGTATTTTGTAAGTTAAAAGATATACAGGGTGTTCCAAAATTATCTTTACATCACCTGGCTTGAAATTGATTACAGACTGGAAGTGCTTGGGGCCACCAATGGTGCGCATGTTGAAGTGTACTAAACAAAACTTTATTAGTTGCAGTAATACATGCAAAAGACAGAATATAAATATCTTGTTTATTTTCGAAGTTATGAATTTTTGAAGTTGTAAAGAGAATTTTGGANATATTATACTGTATTATATTATATTATATTATATTATATTATATTATATTATATTATATTACCGTCGTAGAGCAGCCAACCCAATTTAGGGTTTACGGCTATTAATGTTCAACTCCGTAACCTTGTAATTTTGAACCGAATCCAGAAGACAAGGGAAATCCTGGATCAAGTATAGGGACAAATTCGCCCTCGTGGAGGACTTTTTGATGAAACTAACCCGCATTTGAGTTACATGGAGAGGAAGACCACGAGAATCATCCACGGTTAGCTTGACGGCAAGGGGACTCTAACTCATGAAACGTCTACCACTGAGAATATTTTACGTCACTACTGTGGTCGGTGCGAGCCGGATGCGGAATTCGTATCAATCAGCCATCGTTAGAATTCGAACTCGGTTCACCTCAATGGAAGGAGAACGCTCTATCTCCTGAGCCATAACGGCTCTGTACCTTGTGTTTTTATTTTATATTATAGCCATCGTTAAGCAGTCGACCCAATTTTGGGTTTACGACAACTACTGTTCAACTCCATAGCCTTGTAATTTTGAACCAATTCAGAAGACGAGGAAACTCCTGATTCAGTACCCCCAGTGATTTGTTATGGGAACATGGGGGACTTTGCGATTCGGCAGATTTAACGTGAATCAGTCACCATTTACTACGGCTGGAGTCTTCGTCCGGTGGGGATCGAACCCATGAATTTTTGGACATTGGTCCAGTGTCGTACCAACCAGGCTATCCCGGCCCTTAGTACCTTGTGTGTATGTTAGTAGTTTAAAAAGACTGTTTCTTTTCCAGGTAAGAGTCATTTTCAGAGTGGCTTTAATCAGGCTAGGAAGGAAAAATAGGGTATCTGAACAGGGTATTAAAAATTTACTACAAGTCGTGGGCTAATAGTATTTTCCCTTATTTTATTTACCACTACCTCATTTGAAATAAAAAAAAAATCATGCAAGCGTACTTAAAACTAGTGTGTATTAGTTATGTTAAAATTAAAGGGAAAGCAAACATAATTCTATCACATTTAACATACCTATATTGATGCGCCCCTGTTATGCTATTTTCCATGATTAATAAATACTCTTGAAAATTTCCTTTACTTGATTATCTTACTGAATATGGATATAATAACTTCGAGAACAGTTACTTCTGTTTCTTCTTCACTTATCAAAATTAGTAATTTCCTGATAAACTTCATTTCACCAAGTTGAAAAAACATTTTTTTTTTCAAATTTAGCACGCAATGCTGAACTTTATTTTTCGATCTTTAGGACAAAATGTTTTCATCTCTTTCTGTATATTCATTTCAACTACATGCAGAGTTTTGAATCTTGCCGCTGTTTTACTGTTTCACAAAGTTAAATATGTCAAGTATTTTTTGCCTTGGAAATCTAAAGATGTTCTTGCAAGAAAAGCTTTACCTTTATAAATATTCACATAAAATTTGCCGTTTGAATTTTTCAGAAGTTACATATATTATTATCATATATGGATATCAGTTATACACTACATTATTTAATCAAGTAAGTTTTTAAGTAATTAATTAAGTAATTTAATCAGGTAACTTAAATAAATCTCAGAGCTCGCGTCTCTGAACTTCACCAGAAAGTTTATATCCTTTCACACTGCTCTTAAAGGTCGAGTGCTCAGAAAATTATTTAACGTTTTTAAATTTTTATGGTAATATATGACAATTTTTATAGGCCCTAGTCTATCCATTTATTAACTTATGGTATCTTGGAGAAATGATTGACAACAAAAGCAGTGACTGTAAGAGAAAACGGTCGCCTCAGTATTTTCCTTCCATAGGACTAAATTTTAGTTATAGATAGAGTTCTCTTAAAATCTTCTTATTTTAGTTTATTTTGAAGGGGAAGATCCATTGTTACTATCTCAAAAAAGAGGAGGACTGTGACTTTTAACATAGCATTTAATATGCAATTTTGGTAATTTTTTAAAATTGAAAATGGGATGAGGTCCCATTGATTCTTCTTTTTCACGCGTTAGTAGATACATTTACCTACTTGATGGTATAGTTAGTTTTTTAGAGCGACTACGTTTTTTCGAGTAAAATAAAATAAAAAATGCAGATTTTGCATTTTTTTGAAAGTTTGAATGTCTATATCTACTGATTTGATAACTCGGGAAATGTCTGGGTCTCAGAGCTTGTCCTAATAGTAAACTTTAGTATTCAGCCAAGAAATTATTGGAGTGCTGTTGTTTAACCGAGATTTTCAGGGCGGAAAAAAGCGAAAAACTGAAGTTTTGATTAATTTAGACAGAGTAAAAAATAAAATCAACAATGTCCCATGAAGACGAGTTCATGTCCATAACTAGGCAGCGATATATTAATCATACAGCAAAACAAAACTTTGGAGTGTTGTTGCTTTCCCCATAAAACATACTTATATTTCACTTTTAAAGAAATGACCTTAAACGTTTTGTATAGGGGAAGAAAAATGTTTTTAGTTGCTCAAACTTGCACAATTTTCATTTTTATTACCTACTTCAGTATAATTATAACAATAAAAAAATCAAGACAATCAAATAATGCAACGATTAAAATTAAAATTTTTCGTCTGATTTTGAAAATAATGGCTCCTAAGGTACTTAACTTAGTTAACTCAAAATTCTGTCAAAATTCTGTCAAATTCTGAAAATTAACTCAAAATTCTGTCACTTCATAAAACTTTTTACCCAAAGCGGAACACTTGTAGGTGGATCGGAGAAACCCTTTGACCAGGGATAACTCTAAGTTGTTACAGTTTGATCTGAAATTATACTTTGCAAAATTTTAGAAATAAAGTGATCACATTAGAAATCTTAATTTTCTTGCCACTAATTCCCTACTTCCGAATTCAAAAAAGCAATTTTTACATCATTACAAAGTATTGTGTAAACGCAACGCTAGGCGGTGATGATTTTGAAAGAAAATCATAATTTAATTTATGGTTAGATAACAACTAAGTATTCATATTTTGAGATATAATATATCCGATTAAAAATATCTCCGTTAACGAATCGTTAAAAAAAATAACAAGGACCAACGGATGCCGCTTTTAGTTTTTAAATGAATTATCGACATTTGTTCTTACTTATCTTAGAAAGTGTATTAAAGTGGGTAAGAAAATTTATTACAATCAAGGGTAACTTGACACTTTCGTTCATTTGCACTCAACAATTATATTTTGCGATCTATTAAAAAGATCTCCTTTAATGAATCGTTAAAAAATATAACAAGGACCAACGGATACCGCTTTTAGTTTTCAAATGAGTTATTGGCGTTTGTTCTTACTTATCTTAAAAAGTCTATTAAAGTGGGTAAGAAAATTTGTTGCAATCAAGGGTAACTTGACACTTTCGTTCATTTGCACTCAACAGTTATATTTTGCGATATAATATAGTCTATTAGAAAGATCTCCTTTAACGAATCGTTAAAAAATGTAACAAGGACCAACGGATGCCGCTTTTAGTTTTTAAATGAATTATCGACATTTGTTCTTACTTATCTTAAAAAGTGTATTAAAGTGGGTAAGAAAATTTATTGCAATCAAGGGTAACTTGACACTTTCGTTCATTTGCACTCAACAATTATATTTTGCGATCTATTAAAAAGATCTCCTTTAATGAATCGGTAAAAAATATAACAAGGACCAACGGATACCGCTTTTAGTTTTTAAATGAATTATCGACATTTGTTCTTACTTATCTTAAAAAGTGTATTAAAGTGGGTAAGAAAATTTACTGCAATCAAGGGTAACTTGACACTTTCGTTCATTTGCACTCAACAATTATATTTTGCGATCTATTAAAAAGATCTCCTTTAATGAATCGGTAAAAAATATAACAAGGACCAACGGATACCGCTTTTAGTTTTTAAATGAATTATTGGCGTTTGTTCTTACTTATCTTAAAAAGTGTATTAAAGTGGGTAAGAAAATTTGTTGCAATCAAGGGTAATTTGACACTTTCGTTCATTTGCACTCAACAGTTATATTTTGTGATATAATATAGTCTATTAAAAAGATTTCCTTTAACGAATCGTTAAAAAATGTAACAAGGACCAACGGATGCTGCCCTTAGTTTTTAAATGAATTATCGACATTTGTTCTTACTTATCTTTAAAAGTGCATTACAGTGAGTAAGAAAATTTATTGCAATCGTTCGACGCTTTTTGACTCGTGTATTTTTTTCAGCAATGCAAAAACAAAACCAAATATTTTGCTTAAAGCACAAATTTCGCGATGTGACCCAACAAAGCCAAATATATTAAATTACACTCATTGCTAAAGTCTGTTCATTTATGTCAAAACAAATCCAATTTCGTGTCAATTACCTTTGCTGAATAAAGTTTTTTTAGTTTTAAATAAGTAAAGGTTTTTCCTATCGGTTAATAGTCGAAAATATTTTTTTTTAGATATAGATTTTCAGAAAACACCTACATTTTTAAACATTCACGAAATGTTAATTACAATGTTTACATCTGGCTATTGGTGACCACACCACGTAGGAGGACATTGAATATTATTTATGCAAATATATCTGATGTCCATTCCTTGACCTCATTAGATATTTAATATGCACACTTGGCGAAAAGCAGCTAGTTGTTGGTGAAGGTCAAATAAAAGCTTACTAGGGAAAAATTATTTCCAAAAAATGAAAGAAATTTTTAACCATACAATTCTGTTTCAAGTAAAAAGTCAAAAGATCGCTAATCAGGTTCACATTAAACTTGCATACTCAATTTTTTATACGCGAATTTTTTGAAGGTCTTTTTCTTATATACGCATCAGCTCAGACTATCAATTCGAAATAATTGAGTAGAATTAACCTTGAATCGAATCTTATATGTATAAAAACTGCTCCGTAAGAAAAAAATATATGATGTAATAATGATATAATAATTTCAATCAGGTTTGAAGAAAATCAGCGTGTGCAAAATGCTCATGTAAATTGATGGAAAACTGTTGGAGAATAACATTCATTTTATTAGGTTTGCTCTCAGCAACACTTAAATACGTTAAAATGTAATAGAGATGGTTAAATAGAATAAAATTGTGTCGGTATTAGACAAGGTGAGCATTTGAATATTTGTACTTGAAATATTTTGATTTTAAATGTTAAATGAATTTTAATTCTAATTTACGGATGTCTGTGAAATTTCCAACAAAATATTGTCTATAAACTGTGAAGAATAAATTGTAATACGCACAATAAGAAATGAAAATTGAAATGATAAAATGTAATGCTCACAATAAGAAAGGAAAATTGAAATGTTAAATTGTAATTCACCCAATAAGAAATGAATCCACAATCAATTCTCCTAGCACAGTTGTTGAAAGAAAAACTGAAAATTGAAATACATCAGGACATAAAACGAAACAACTGACCATTTCTTCATCAGTGTTTTTTCTTGAAGTATGAGAGCTTCATAGAATATTCTTTAAAATATTATATTCTAGAAATTACTACGGACCTTAAGAAGAATGAACTGTAATGCGCACTAAAAGAAATTAATTCGTTACAAATAGCTCCACCAGCACAGTTGCCGAAACCAAAACTAAAAGTTTAAGAGCCAATTTTTTTAAACATCGGGCAAATCAGGTAGGGTTGAATATTTGACATTTTTTATTTCATTGAAATTCAATTTTTAGATCATGTTTTCTATGTAAAACTATAAGACACGTGTTATTTTTATTTTTATGAATTTTTCTCTCTCGAAGTTTTAATAACTGGAAATCTTTTGGAATGTTTAGAAAAGCACTTCGATTTACAAGTGGCAATTCTTTTTGTTCACTACGTCCTAAAGATCAATTGTTTTAAAAAATAAGCCCATTATAAACTAAATAGATTAACCTTCACACAGTCTCTATCCAGAACTTACACTTTGCTATTTAAACAAGTTACACTTTGTTTTGTTTTACATTAAAACCTATCGATACTTCTTACAACTAGTAGATCAAAAATTATAAAAGCAAGTTATAAATGGTTTTAGCTCATTTGATAAATTCTAATAAGTTCAAAGATCTAAAACTTTGTCCGCACAGCAAAAAATACTGTACTATTTAATCATAAAACTCTTAATAGCTTCTAATCTACTAGTTCTTCGACATTAATGAGATTTTGCTCGATTCAGCTTATTAAGATTATTTAGATCCTATATTAAAACTGCAGCTTACCCCGCTGCTAAGTTTAAATATTCATATTGGGCCTAAATCACATTTTTAAAACAATTAACAGCCTTCCTGTAGCGATTTCTGTATTCAGTTAATTAGTCTCAAACTTTAAGTTAATTAGTCTTAAACTTTAAGTCCATATTATAAAAAAGTTGAATCAGTTGTGATTTTAACATTGACTACTTAGACCAGCAAATTGCAAAACTTAACAGCACACTTTCTGATTGCATTTTTTCTTTTAAAAACTTGAATGAAGACCTCAAGATCCGGCAGTTCACATTTGTAGCAATGCATCTAAATTAAGAATGCAATAATACTAT